TAATCTATATTGGTATAATCTAAAATTTAACAGTATAATTTTTATAAATATTTTAGTATATTGATTAAATAAAGGTAACAAGTAGTTATGCATAATTATAAAAAAATATATATATTTTTAGATTTATATACAAGATTTTCAATACTATAACAAATTTTAAAATACAGAACTATAGTTGTATTCATTTAAAAATGTACTATCCAATTAGACTACGTTCCAAATAAAATAATTCAATAAAATACGTTACTATTAAACTATAATATAATAAATATATTTATCTCATTAATCAATTAATATATCTGTTTGTTTTTTTTTTTATATAAGCTATAAGAGTCGATTTATTTGAAATTAACTGAAGGTCATATTGTATTTATTATGAATATCCTAGAATCGTTTGTTATGTTTATTTTATTTATTTTTTTTTTTTTTTAATGATTAACTAAAATAAACAATTTGAATTCCTATATAACTCATATAAATTTAAAACTGTAGATTATTTCTATTAATTGTCCATTATTTGTGAAAACAATATCGACTTTCGATTTTCAAATATAACAATAATTTTAGTGTATTAAATCAGAGTTTATTAATTGTTTTCAAAAAATATCAATAATATAAAAATATAAATTCATAATATTTTTTTATTTTGCAAGCCAAATGTCCCCTATTAAACATATTTCTGAGGGACATCAGTTATCACTTTATCAGTCACAATTATTAATTTATAATAAAATATTTTAAATACATATTACATAAGATGAGAATTATATAAAAAAATTTTCAAAACTCTAAAGTTTATATTTTGTTTACGTTGACTAGTTTATAATATTTGAATTAACTTACACATCTAGAAATATCAAATTTTTTTCACATTTACACTTTATTTCACCTGTATAGATATGATGCATAAAATTGGTCAAATAATGTTTTTTAAGCTTAAAAAATTGTAGTAATAAATAATTTTTAAAACTTTTGTATAATTAATACAAATAATGGATTATTGTTATTAATTTATTATACATCTAAATTTATTATATTTACGACTTACATTACTTAGCGATAATTTAATTTTTAAGAATCTTGAAAGGACATATAGGCCAGTTGAAACTATAACATAATATTTTGTATTTTAAGACCGGTATACCGGTATATTTCATACCTACCGGTGTTGCGCTCTTTATATTTTATGGTCAGTAAACTAATAATAATTACTCTTATATTTCACTTTTACCTTCGACCATAAAAAATATATATTTATCCACTTTAATTCCACCGACATTGAAATATTATATATTAAACATACACTATGTTTATTGACAACTGAGTAATTGGTTAAATATCTTTTGTTATTGAAAAAAAAATATTCTTGCATTTAAAATGTTCTTAGCTGATTTGCAGTTAATATTTGATAATGGTATCATCGTAACTTTTATAAAATGTCTTTAAAACCGACATACACAAGTATAATACACTGATATGTGTGTATTTATATAAACGAAATCAAATTTTTATTGTTACAAATTAGTAATAGGTTTATTGCACTGCATATAATATTGTTTGGTCTATACTATGGGGTTACAATGATACTTATTGATAGTTTTAGTTACTTCTATAATTGTACAATTTTCATTCATATTATTACATTTATAACAGATAACCTAGTTACCTAGTAACTTAAGTTGTACCGAACATAAATAATTTTAATTTTATTTAGGGTTGCTATTTGGCCCAATAATTGATTTATCAATTTTGATGACCGAGCATAATTGGTACATAAAAAGTCATTTCAAACACAATTTATTGGTAAAATCCCTATTACAAGAGTTACTGTTTTTAATGGCAACACATATTGATATTTATATTTATTATAGATTTTTAACCTAAATACAAGTGTGTAGACAGTGTTAATTTTCTGTGCATCTGATATGTACTTTGGAAACCGTAATTGCTTGCCGTACCAACTAGTGTTGTCTCACTTGTTTCTGTCTTATATACGTGTAACACAGAAAATACCAAATTCTTACTAGAATCTTACTAGATAAATATTAATACAAATTTACTTATTATCAAATTTGTAAGAAAAATAAACTCTACTCGAGAAATGAATTTTTTTCACATTTTTCTTTTAACGATCTACATAAATTTGAAAAAAAAAGTATTATCTATGTACTTATAACTCATTTAAAAATGAAAATATGAAAAAAAACTCTTCACTCAAGCACAGTTTGTATACATCATATTTTCTAATTATTTTTCTTGTATGTTACGCATGTGTAAGACAAAAATGAAACATACCGGTACAATGTCCTCTTAATCAGTCTTAAACAACGATAATATTTTTTTTTGAAAACGAGCTCTGGTTTATACCTCATTGTTCATATTATAATTTATATTTATTGTACTCAAAGATCTGTTTAAAATAATAATAATAAGTGGGTATTAAATAGTATAGTAGTAGTATAGAGTTTTTAGTAAAAATAGAACTATACAATACTTTTCATTTTTCAAGTACTATAGTGATAGATTATTTAATAAATATGTAATAAATTAATTGTGTTATTTCATTTTGAAATATTCCTTTATTATTGTAAGATATACAAAATTTAAATAATTTATAAATATATGTGATAAACAGCCGTAGATACTACATAATTATAAATAAGTACCTACACATGGAACTGAGCGCCTAACATTTCTAACAAATAAGAATACCTTTATGAATTTTACAAAGCCTGGATATAACAGGGTTAATTTATAAACATCTGCATTATACTATGTTTTTTTCGGGCTAATCAATTTTATTTTTATTATTGCAGTAAAAAAAAAAAATTTTATAAAATCGATATAGATGTACAAAATCCGTCGCCAAATGTCTTGGCTTAGTGGTCATTGCACAACAATAGTTCACAAATTATTTTAAGATAAAAATATATACATGAAAGTCACGATCATATGAAAACTGGTAAATTTCATGGTTTGAATAATGCACGTCATAATATTATCGATTTTTGTCCAAATAATATGTGCGATTGAAAATTTGAGTTCATTATTTTTTGTTAAATTATTGTTATAACTCGTATGTTAATTATTTTAAATTCAATATTTCGTAATATTAATACAAATTTTTCGGTATTTTTACGTGTGAAAATTTTGGAATTAAATATACAAATCAACGAAATAAATCAAATCTTATTCACTCGACATATGCGACTAAATACTGTATAAAATTAATTTTCGTCTAACGATATCACCAGAATAATAACACTTGCTAGTTGCTACCCGACCAAAAAATTGTTATTAATCATCCACAAACATGGCGACAGCCAGATAAAATCTAGTTTGAAAAAAATTGCCGCCAAAAAAAAAAGCGGCTTAAACGCTCTGTCAAATTAACCGCTGACACTGCAGTTTACCGATTGAATTGTATGCAAACCTAACTACCTATAACGTATTGAATACAAAATATTAGGTACGATTATTACAAATAACAATCTCTCGTTAAACATAATTAAACAGCATGTTTCGATCATCTGTCCAACCATATCAATCAGATATAAACGAAATGTTTACGCACAATTCGCATTCTGGCAACCCTCAAATCAATTATAAACCGATGAAATAAGTCAACAAGTATTTAGTCTAGATTGTTTATTTAATTTCGGCCAGCTGGCTTTATCCACGTTTATCATTGATTTGGCGTTTAAATAAAAACCAAATCGTCTTAAATATTAACTATTTCATCAAAAAATGCTGTGAACTGTTTTCAAAACAATTTTCTCATTCTTAATATTATATACATGGCTGTAACGCGATTGCGCCCAACAAATAAGCACGATTACGCCCGTTTTACCATTTTACCCACAAAAAATGCAACACGATTGCGCTCCGTGAAATATAGGTATACACTATTTAAAAATACAGTCAAAATAATAAACTCAAAGTTTAAGTTAAAAGTTCGAGTTAATCAAATTCGACTGTATTAATACATATCATAAATTTTACAATTATCTTCGTTGTCAATAATATATTTGTTCATTAAATCAATACAGTAATATACAGTATAATACAGTATATTATTGCATAATATTTTTATTAAACAAGACTAGCGGTTTCCAAACTTTTTTTTTCCAGCGGTGCTATTTTTTTGTTTAATTTCAGCCATCATGCCTAGCCGTGAATACCACGAGGAACATACAAAAACAAATCAACACTAATTCTCGTTGATAATCAGTTTTTTTTAAATTTACTGAACATAACACAATACAAGTATTCTAAACATATTGCTGACTTAAAACTAATACATTTTTATATCTGAAAAAAAAATAATAAAAAATGTTAAAAAAGAGAAAAATTATTATAATCACGAATAAAACTATATTACTAAAGTGAAGTGTATGGCTGCTAGCTTATGTTGGCAAAGTTTGGCAATGTCAGGTTTTATTTTTGACGACTGGAGACTGGAGTCGAAGGTCAGGTCTGCGTTGAGGCGATTACGGTATTTTGTGTTTCTTTTTTTTTTTTAGTTTTAGTGTAAGCCAAAAATCCTGACTTGCATAATTAAATAGTGACAAAGAGTAATAGTAATACTTTCTTCTCTCCGATTAAAACCTTATAACTATTGTCTAACTATAAGTAAACCAGAATTCGTCGTACAAATTGTTATTGAAGACATTTTTTAATGTTGGGTCTGAAATCAAATTTCCGCATTCTGTTAGAGACAAGCTTGAGGGTTTTGCATGAACAAGAATGGAAGTAGTACATATTCATAATCCTTCAACAACATCTCTTGAAATGCAGGGAAATACTACTCAGATACATTTTATAGCTGTTTAAGGTGCTCTAAAATCTCGTTGACATCAATATTGGCAGCCTCTTCATTCTTCACCAAAAAAAAAAAAAACTTGCATAATTGAAAACATTCCGTAAACATGACTTTGCCCATATGGCTGTTTTATTTTTAAATGTGAGAAATTGGTTTTTATTGTTTTATTGTTTTTTAGGTGGCGGGGAAGTATATACAAGTTAGTGTGGCCTGACTTAGCAGCATTCCTGTTTTGTTATTATACTTTGAATTTGACTTATCGCTTTGTATTAAATCAACAGCAAAAACGGTGAGTGTACCTTATTTATAATATTTTTAATTTTTTATGACCAATACAATATTATATTAATTTAAATTGTATGCTTAAACAAATAGAAAGATACCAAAATCAAAATTTTAGATATATTTCTGTTTACTTTACAAACAAAACAATAGTTCGTTTATTCTCTTTACACGTTTTATAAAAATTGAATGAACTTGACCCGACTTGAACTTTAGTGGTTTTATCCCCACGGTTATCATTATTGTTTTTACAAAAAAAAAATTAATTAAACTATTTAAAATTAAATAAAACTTTATTTTACATTAACCAAGTTGTAAAATTTATATTATTTATACATTTAGATTTTATTTACTCATTACATTAAAATGTAAATATTTTTTACAGCAAAATACTTATTCTTGCATCAAATTAAGAATTACAGATTTATATTTATACACAACGGTCTAATTTAATTGTTAAACTAACTTGTAAGAATTTTTAAATAAAGTGGTTTTTGCAATAAGCTTTTCATTTAGCTTATATACTACTGTGCGATGGATATTTTAGAGTTAAATTTTATTAAACGTCATAAACATAATTTAAATCAATCAAAAATTATAGATTATTATTACATAATTTTTATAGTATGGAAATAATTCTTGCAATGAATAATTTGTTATAAGTCTTAAAATTGTATACATATTTTCATATTTTTCATAAAATATAGATACCATGTGTAGTAAAATAACTAAAAAACTATAAACTTTAGTTTGGCAATCAATATTAATATGTCCAATTTATTATCAACACCCGCTATACTTTACCAGATACTGAAATTACATGATATTTCCGGATATTTTAATTTTGTGTATATTTTACATTCATAACATGTTAACAGTTATGTTGTAGATAATATAGATATTTAATATTCGAAAATATTCAAACTTCGATTCTAATTAATGTATTTACTTATGTAGTTGTATTATACGAGTACCTACTTATGTTTGCATACATACCTAATACATTCATTGTAATATAAATTTGATAAAAAAAAAATTCCGAGTAAAAGTTTTTTAGATTTTTAAACTCTTATTTTGGTATAGTTTTGAACTTTTTTAAAACAAAAATTATACAAACACCTATGCAGGGTTACATAAACAATCACTTGACATTAACAATAGTGTGAATTATATTTTATTCAAGAATATTCGAAAGCATATCGGATTATTGTGAAACATACAGCGACTTAATACCGTTGTCCTTTGTGCTGGGATTCTATATATCCATAATAATGCAACGATGGTGGGATCAATATTGTTCGATTCCATGGCCTGATCCTATAGCAGTTTACGTGAGTTCGCATATTCATGGACAGGTACGAACAATTTACATCACTATATGTATAAATCACGTTACAACCATCTGTATACCGGTATACTTACTGTTGAACTAATATCCGTTACCAAACCGTAGGACGAAAGAGGGAGATTGATGAGACGAACGATCATGCGGTATGTCTGTTTGGGTCTGACTATGGTATTCTCTAATATCAGCCCTAGAGTAAAGAAGCGTTTTCCCACACTGGACCATTTTGTTGAAGCGGGTACGTATGATTTGACTTGTTACCATGGCAGATATATATTACCAATGTCTGATGATCAGTTTTTTAATCATGACAAATATAATCGTTTACTTAACAATTTTTATAAACTTTTTAAAGTATTCAAATTCATAATGGACTGCTATTGTGTTTGTTGTACAGGATTGTTGTTGGAAAACGAAAAAACAATCGTGTTGGATTTAAATGAAAAATTTCCCAGACACTCCAAACACTGGTTGCCGGTCGTGTGGGCGGCGAGCATAGTGACTCGAGCCAGAAAAGAAGGACGGATCCGCGACGATTTCGCGGTAAAAACGATAATTGACGAGTTGAACAAATTTCGCGGTCAATGCGGTTTGTTACTCAACTACGATTCAATAAGCGTACCTCTCGTTTATACGCAGGTAAATTTGATATTATAATGAATTATTTATTTTACTATCGATTTAAACCATTTTAATATTACGTAAAAACCTGCACTAAGTAAGTACAAAGTTAAATTTCGAACATATTATTCACTACGCTTATTGGATTTTATCTTAAGATATCTAAGTATTTTAAATTTGACATTTTTTTGCATAATCAATATCTATAGTTTATCCTATATTTATAATAACTATTAAAGGGTAACAAAAATGTTCATCACACTCATGAAAATAAAAATTTATATTTTACTTTAAATTAAAAATAATTTTACTGTAATCACATATAATAAATACATTTTATATTAAATGTATATGGTTTTAAATTACAATTTCCTTGAACCACGAATGGCTGCTATAATACTAAATAGTTTTAGAGCCCTGGGACTTTTTTTGTGTTGCACTTCAACATTTTCCAATATTAATTTTAATTTAACTTAGAATTAATATTTTTGCATTATTTTATATCAGTTGGTATAATTATGTATTGTGAATATTTTTTGATAGGACCGAAAACACCAACTTTTAACGTTTTAATAACGCACCTAGGGCTATAGTCTCTTCAGCCTCTTTTGTGTTAATCCGGGGTTGAATGTAACTCATGGATCTACATATAGTATAATATTATAAAATATATAACAAAATAATAACGAGTTTATTAAGCACAGCTTTTATGAAAAAAAAAATCGTTCAGTTTTACACAAATTCTACATTTTTGTATCAACATATTGTTCCATTTTTATTTTTACCAAACATTATTTTAATCGTAAACAAATAATATAAACTTATCTACTCGTGATAACTTTAGACTTATTTATAAATGTTTATTTTTTCTATAGGTCGTAACATTGGCCGTTTATTCATTTTTTATTACAACTGTAATGGGAAGACAATGGCTAGATAAACCAGTGGCGCAGTTGGCAAATCTTAGACAACAAACGGAATCTAGTCCGGCAAATTATAACTATATTGATTTATATTTTCCAGTATTTACTACTTTACAGTTTTTCTTTTACATGGGGTGGTTAAAAGTGGCCGAATCGTTGATAAATCCATTTGGAGAGGACGACGATGATTTTGAAGTCAATTGGATCATTGATCGCAATGTTCAAGTATACATAACGATTAAAAATATCTCAATTCATCTGAATACTTATCGAAACATATATTATTAAATTACGTATAATTTTACTCTTCAGGTTTCGTATTTAATTGTGGACGAAATGCATCACGAACATCCAGAGTTAATCAGGGATCAGTATTGGGATCAGGTGTTCCCGACAGAATTGCCATATACTGTAGCTGCCGGAGAACGTGAACGGCATCCCGAACCATCGACAGCCAATATAGCTGTGTCAGATGCAGACGCTGAATATTCACTGCCACCAAAATGCTCCGAAGATGGACAACCCATAGTAAATATAATATAATTTACACCACACCCAAAACCGCTTAAAAATAATTTAACTTTATTATTTGTTTAGAAATTAGAATACATAGAACACCTAACCTAACCTATCCTATATACTATAATATAGTAGAGTTTGCGTTTTTATTTATATCCTAAAAATATTCTTAAATAATATTTTCCAAATAATTATGAGTTCATATTAAAAAAAATTTTAAAAAAATTCGAGTAATTGTAACTTTGGATTTTTTTAATTTATAAGTAAATTTTTTACTTTTCGACTTGATCGTATAATACTTTTACATTATACCTATTTTGTAAAATTTAAAAAACAAATAGAAATTATGAACAACAGTCGTTCTTAAACTTATTTTTTAGTTTTTCTTGTTATCATTGCGTATATTGAATAGTGCCCCAGCAATCAGCAAATTATTTACCACTTGTTCAATTGAACGTTGTCTATGTTGAGCTTCTAGAGAATTAAAAATTGTTGACAATACGTTATTACGTTACTATATTCAAAGAAGTGATTTTTCAATGTTTTTGAAATTATGGTACATTTATCACGGCTACACCACGACGTACAACAACGTTATACCAAAGGTAATATAGTAAACGTCTTTACCTCAATTATTTGTCATCGACTGCCGATAGGGCTTTACAACACGATCGAATAGTGAGCACAGTACACGCGTACAAAGTCAAACACAAACACGTTACGGTCGTGCCGGATATACGCCGACTGTCAAGTATCGATGACTCATAACAGCATATAATATACGGTGTGGCGGACGTAATGTCGCCTATTCGCAAAACCCGTATTATGTTCCCATACATTTTTGCCCACGCATTAGGTATAACGCGTAAAATAAATAATATTAAATCACATCCATACACACATATTATTAGGTATGCATTACGATAGTCATCAGTCATCACCAATTAACCATACGCCATACAGTTCGTAACACATTTCGTTCTCGCGTTTTGACATCATAGTCTTGTTGCAGGACGATGACGACGCGAACAGCGGCATACACTTCGTAGCGACAGGCGGCAGCTACAAGAGGTCAAACAGTCAGCTGCGCGGCCGTCCCATTTCGTCGCACAGCTCCAACGATCATCACCACCACCTCAACAACCAGAGCGTGGCTAGTTCGTTAAACCGCGTAGGTTCGGTCACCTCCATATTGAAAAATCTGTTCAAACGCACCGGTGGTACCTCAGCCCAGTCGGGTGGCGACGGTGAGTGCCGTTTTATTTCTTCGTAGCCATTATTTAAAGGTTCCCAAAGCCCAAGATACCCCTTCATTCCGTCCCTGGCTTATGATGAATAATATAAGTGGGCAAGATCTTACGTAGGATATAGCAGAAAAAACCTGAAGTTCCTGTACAGGAGTAAAAATTAAATATTTTACCGATTCTTACGCGGTGTTACAATTTATAATGTTAGGTCCTATAGAAACTTAAAAATTTTAAGCAATGTGACAACAGTTCGGCCCTCATGTAGTGATTTTCAATGAAAAAAAAAAGGTCCTACATAAGCGCAAAAAAATAAATGTTCCTCCAAATTTATATTGGATAATAAATCACGAACATAGTTGGATAACGCAAAAATAGTAGTATATCTCCATCCCCCTACGTACCATCACTTACCTACATATTTTTACGAATAGTACTAATACGCTATAATCATCTAAATTTTAAAAAAACTTTAAAATTTATTAAAATTTATTATTATTCTCAAATGAATTACAACTATTGTCTATTGCTATTCTGGCATTTAGTTGACTGTGATTAACACCTATACGAAATCAACACAAAACATTTTTATCTATCATCGTAGTGAACTCACTATACCATTAGAATTGTAAAATTGTGTTTTTTACCAATTTTCAATATACGTAGACATGTATTTTTCGTTAGGTATTTACTTTGTCTCCTATAAAATAGAATTGAATACATATATATATATATATATATATATATATATATATATATGTGTAAATATAAATATGTGTACCTAATACATTATCTTATGCCAATATTATACCAACTATCGTATTCGTCTAATAAGAGTTTGAAAATATGTTAGAATTTGTCATTAAACTAAACGACAATTTCATTTTTGTGAAGTTGAATTCATGAAACCCTTCAAAATAAATTTCAAATTTTCAATGTCAAGAATCGTAAAGCTTTACAATAATTATATTGAAGTAAAAAAAAATATAATAATGTTGTACAAAATAAATTTTATGGCTTATACAAATACATTTTCAAAAATTAGGTTAGTTTAGTTAATAAAATGTAAAAAAATTATTTTTACCAAAAAAAAAAAAAAAATTAATATTTAGTTAGGTCGTAAACGTGCGGTAAAAGCGCTCAGCTATTTATTTGACACGCGAATGATCAATTACTACACACATATTTACACAACCCACATTCAAGCAATTATAAAATTGCCTTAATTAAACTTCTTAAGTATACAGTCTGAATTATATCTCAAATAATCGTAACAATCATTATAGGTAATACATAACTCTAATGTAGCGATGGTTACCAACCTGAGGTAATCAGCTTATGTACGTGAATGTCTATATTGTGTGTTACCTATATAACAATCCAACGCCATAATAATACTGTCCCCGTAACAAAATACAAAACAATACAAAAACAATACGAAAAGAAAAAAAAATTATGAAGAGTGATCAGCAAAAGTTTAAATTATCAACGACTAAAATAGAAAATATTATAATAGGCAATACGTCTTGGAAAGCGCTTATTAAAATACCGTTTCATTAAAAAATAAACTTTTTTTTAAATCACAATTATTTTATTTAATAATTTTCCCAAACTATTAATTTTTTATGTTTTTAGGCGGCTATATCAGGGGTGTCCCTAGACTGTTAAATTGAACTTACTTTATTCCTAAATTACAAATAATAATACAAATTTACTAGGTTATTTACTAATATGAGCTATCTTCACTCAAAATTGTTTTTCACATGCAATTTATTGTAATTAGAGAGTTTTCGGTGGCTTTAAATAGTTATAAGTCATTACAATGAATTAGCCTTCTATATAACTAAAATTCGACGTATGATATTTTTAGTATTTTAATTTTATCACAAGTTATGAGCATTCTAAAATATACAAAAAAATGTATTCTTTTTAAAATGCTCAAATAAATTGCTTCAAAATAAAAACATCTAAAAAATCTTCCGGAAGCCTAAATATTACATTCTCCTTTAAAGGTAATAATAGATCAATTCAATCAACAGAATGATAATAGATATAGGTACATGGATAACATAAATCATAATATATTTATTAAGTAGCTATACTATTTTATTATATTGAATTCACTGTTTTTATGTCTATAAATGCTCTATAAAAATGCTTTAATTTTGTCATTATATACTTAGGAATAATAATTATATACAAATGATTATTAAAATTTTAATCTTTAAGCTGCACTACGCTTAATTATTTTTTTTATTCTATGTAAAATAACCTACAATGTTGGACCTCACAAATTTGTATTTATTTTGGCTCCGCAAGTCTTAAGAAATTAACCTCTTCCCATTGACAAATAATAAGTTTAATTCTCAGAATTTATCCGACCCCAAGTGCAGTTTAAAAATAATGTATCTTCTATACTTATTTTAAAAATTTACATCTACTTTTCGTATTCGTTATCAATACCTAAACAAATTTCAAATTTATCAAAATAAGTGTATACACTCTAATAAAAATTTCTGAACATACTAGTTTCCTTTCTCTGTGCTTAATTTAAAATAAAACAGTTAAAATTTAAATAACTATATTGGATAAGCATTATTTTTGAGCCATTTTTTTTTTTTTTATTTATTTATTAAAAATTACGAGTGCAATACACTTACATAATTATCTAACCATAAATAACGAGTATTTTAAATAAATTACCTAATAAACATAATAGGAAAGTTATATTATTGATGTACTCACTTTTTATGTCTAATTTACGTAAGTCACCTGACCTATATATAATAAAATATAAAAACATAACTACCTATTTTTTAAAAACTAAATAACTTAATCGAATATTAAGTTATTATAACAATTTCTAACGACCTAAACTGGCTAAACTATTAAGTTAATAAGATGTAATCTTTACTACCACGAAAACACATTAAAAAATATCAATACTTAACTGATGTGCTGAAAACAAATTTTTGCTCCACTTAAAATCTAAAATTGTCGTCTATATGAAAAATAAAGACTTGAAAAGAAAAAATTTTTAAATAATTTCATTATTAATAAATAATAACTAATATTATGATACATTATGTTCCTTATATTGAAATCGTTTATGACTTATTTCATACAGGACTTTTGTCAAGGGTATCAAGCAGCAACAGATTTCCAGGCAGTAGCTGGCAGAGTCAAGAAAGTTTACAGAGTAGTAGTAGTAAATTACTACAACAGCAGTTTGGTAGTGTACGAATCGCCGATCAGGTATAGCGTAAAAATAAATAACAACCGATACAATATTTCAAAATGTCTTATCGTTTTTATTAGGTGATCGAGGAACTAGACGAACAAATGACAATCACAGCGGGAGGTCGGCTAGAGAGGCGCAACGAGAAACCAAACGTGCGCACCGTATTTCCGCCTCAACCGCCACTGCCCAACGACTCAGCATCATCAAATTTATCAAATATCACTTACACAGAAGTGTTATCAACTAACGATGATTTTGGCTATCAAGATGGAAAACAAGAGGATACATTGATGCGCAGCGACAGTGACAGCAGTAACCGCCACACGCCCAGTACTTCTAGTTTGTTGTTTGTTGTCGAACCAGTGGTAAGCCAATCTGCTACTGCAAACAACGATGCGCCCAACAGTAGGACTTCGTCAGTCACTTACGATTATGAAACATCTAGACGGACACCAGACCATCATGACTAGTATTTTATTGATTTATTGATTATGTTAATCTCAATTTTATTTAGAATATACACATTCTGTTAAAACAATAAACAGTTCATTTTAAAATGTTAGAATAAAGTACGTACATTTAAGAAATATAATTAGATGTATAATACAATATTATATAACATCAAATATTATTTGACTATTAGTTATTAACTAGATTACTGACAATAACAAATTTTAAAATTGGCTTAACGTTAATAAATGTTTTATCGCTGTTCAAAAACTGAAAAATGTGTAATTTCCTTAATATATATATATGTGTGTGTGTGTGTGTGTGTGTGTGTGTGCGTGTATTTTTTTTTCATTGATATAATATGAGTATATAAAACTAATTGATTTTTGTAAAATTCTAACAATAATCATTTACAATTTATTTTAAAAGACTTAAAAGTAAAAATTATGTTTTAAATTTTACAAATATTTTTCTTTTTCACACTTTCTACTAAATAATATTTCTTAATTATTAATTTTATTTATTAAATTACAAAATTTATCTTAAGTTGTAGGGAAACAAATAAGATATAATATTATAAAAAGATGATCTAGACTCATTCATACAGATATTTATAAACATAACTTATGAATGTAAATCAGATAAAACTTCTAATATTAACATATGGATATTAAACAATAAATGATTATTAATTACTAATTACTTTTCATACAAAATATATAATTTTTCATTGAAATTGTTTTGATTATTATAGCAGCATATCAATTTTGAATACGTTACCAAAGTTCATTAAGGTAAAATTATAATCTATGACAAAGATATTAATTTTTAGATGTTAATGAACTAATCTTTCAGAAAAAAAAGAGCATTATAAATCATTATCATGCATTTAAAAATTTTACAATATTAAGATACACATTCCAAATATTCTAACTTTCAAATAATGAATAAAAATAATTAATTATTAGCTACTAATATAGTTTTTTATTTGAATTATTATTTTATTGAAAATAATTTTAGAATTGTATTAAACTACTATATAAAATGCTAAGTAAGATTAAAATTATAGCAATTATTGATTTAGCTGATGTTTTACAAACTATAAATAAAAAATCTACAAAATTATTATTTATATATTTCAGAATTTATCTTAAAATGAAAAAGAATCCATTAATTTATATTCATAAATAAATATTATTTTACAAATTTAGGAGATATTGAAAAATAATAAACAAAACTGAATAACTACTACGTACTATCAAAAAAATTCTTTTATTGAAAAATAATTTAAGAATTAAATTTAATAGTAAAATTATTAATAAATAAAAAATAATTTCAACTATGACAGATACTTGCATCATAAAATGACCCTGAATTGTCCTCCTTAAAACTAATATGAAAATATTATGCCTCCAGCTTAAAATTTTAACTTTATTATTTAATATAAACATACACATTTAGGATATTGTACATGACAAAATTATAAACAAACATGAAAAACTATGAAAGATACTATTAAATAATATTTTTTTGGATTTAAATATTTTATTTTGTTATTATACAGTATGCTGAACTAGTTTGATGATAATAAAATTATTGATTAAACAAAAATTATTAAAACTATAAGAAAAACTTTTGCATCTTTATGCCTCTGAACTTGTCTTAAAATTAAAAAATTATTTGTATTTACAAATTATATTAATATTTGAACAATATAACCTAATTCTAACTTAAACATTTAAAATGTATTAAAATCTTAAAAATAATAATATTTCTTGATTTGAAATCTAAGAATTTCATTTTACATTATACTAAGTCAGATTAATCTTAATAATATTATCAAATAAACAAAACTTAATAAAACTATGACAAAGATTCTTGCATATTAATTTGCGTCTGAACTTGTCTTAAAAATAATAAGAGTATTTGTGAACTAAAAAAAATATTCAAAGAATATTACTTAATACTAAATTAAATATATAAGATTTTATATCTAAATTTTTTTTTTTTTATCAACAACTCAAGAATTCTATTTTACACTAAACTTAGATTTTATTGATCTTTCTAAAACTAGTAAAACTATGACAAAGATTCTTACATATTAATTTGCTCTGAACTTGTCTTAAAATTAATTGAAGGAGTTTGAATTATAAGAATATTCAAAGAATATTATTTGTTGTTAACTTAAATATATAAGATTTTCTATCTAATTCTTTTTTTTTTTTTTTTTCATTAATAACCTAAGAATTTAATTATACACTATACTAAGAATCTGATTAATCTTAATATTATCAAATAAACAAAAATTAATAAAACTATGACAAAGACTCTTGCATATTTATATGCTTCTAAACAGTCTAAACTTGTCCTAAAATAAATAACTAGCAAATTTTACAGTTTTGTCAATATTTGAACAAAATTACATAATTCTAACTTAACCATTTAAAATATTTAAAGAGCTAAAAAGTAATAATTTATTATAATTTAAATTTTAAATTTTATTTTTATTCATAACTATAAGGATTTAATTTAACACTATACTTAAATCTGATTAATCTTAATAATATTATCAAATAAACAAAAAATAATAAAACTATGACAAAGATTCTTGCAAATTAGTTTGCCTCAGAACTTGTCTTAAAAATAATTGGGCCTTTTGCACTACTCAATATTTGAACAATATTATAGAGTTTTAACTTAACTATTTAAAATATATTAAAAGCTTAAAAGTAATAATTATTTTTGATTTTAAATTATTTTATTAAATTCTTTAAAATTTTAATTTTACACTATAC